ATTATCATCATATTCATATTTCCTGACAGGACAGTGACCGCCCAGATCTGAGCCACTTTATGGAAAGCGGAGAATGGGTGATGAAGGATTTCCGTGGCTGGAAGCACTGGGTGTACTACGCCTGCTGCCAAGACACCCCCTACCTGGACATCACCTACCATTTCCTCATGCTGCGGCTTCCTCTGTACTTCATTGTTAATGTCATCATCCCGTGCATGCTCTTTTCCTTCCTCACTGGCCTTGTCTTTTATCTTCCCACGGATTCTGGTATGTTTACACTGAAAAATGTAAACCAAACAATAAAACATCTATCATAGATCATAATATACAGAAAGTTTTAAACACATCCTCTCACTAAAAAAGATATAAACCATAATTCTTATTTGATATACTAATATACATTAATATACTTGAGGAAGTTTCTCACAATCTTGACAAATATAGTACTAGATTTATCTCGAGCTTTGCTTTTGTTGTATGCTTTTCAAATATTTTCAAAGGGAATCATTACCTGCGAGCCAATACTTCAGCCTCTTTGGAAAAATGGTATGTTGTTTCCTTTCAAGAGGCTGACAGAAAGATTTATGCCACTTTCATGTCTGGAAGGAACAGCCAGATAGCTAGCTTAGAATAAAGTCTACAAGCTAAGCTATGTATAACATGTCCAAAGGTAACAAACTCCATCTACTAGTACTTGTAAAACCTCAGTAACCTTAAAACCTAAAAATTGCATAGATAATTGCAATTTTCACCTAAAAAAAAATCTGTTTAGAAAAGGAAACATTTAAAATGTTATTTAATCACGTTTTTCAAATCTGTTTAAGTGCATTTGCTTGAGCTTCAGACAAAGCCAGCTCTTTTACTGTTTCTTGTGTATGTGTACATATATGCAAATGATGTAAATTGTCAAAATTAGACCATGGCCACTATTTGGCTTTCCTATTATGATATCAACTGAAACCGTGTTGGAAAAATCCTTAAATGCTGCCTGTCAGTCCAAAGTGTCTCTACACTGGCTTTTTCAGGAACTGCACAGCTTATGTGCACATCTGGCCATGTTCCCAGTGTGTCGGTCTGCTTCATTACCCAGAGTCCCTCTGTGCTGTCATGTCTGAAAGCAGGCCTTTGCTTTAATGTATAATACATCACTTGATCCCTGTTTCTGATATGGCTGCTGACAGGAGGAGGAGATGCTAGTGCCAAAAAAGATGCCCTCCCTGGGATAAATGCTCTTACTGAGCAACAACAAAAACAAACCCAAAAAAAAAGAACATGTCTCACATTTTACTCATGTGAAATGGTGTCAAAATCTCTTTATACTCCTGGCTTTATGAAAGAGGAAAAAAGTAGCCTATCACTGTTTGGATTTGATTTGCTTATTTGGTTGAACGATGCAAATGTGCTGCTGTATAAATTCAAATTAAAGTTAGTTGATGGAATTCAGGAAACAGCCCTCCCTGGTGGCAGTTTAATAAGATTGCATGTTCATGCAGTTTAATCTGCACGACATTTGCACCTATACCTTCATGTTTTTCAGGTCAAGTTATGGTCTAAACATGTTATCAGCCCTTCAGTGTATCGGGGATTAGTTATGGCATAAACATGGTGTCCTACATTTACCATCGTAGTTCCTAAGAATGTAATTACGTTATTTTCTTTCTTTTTTCTTTTTATTTGAATTATGTTTAGACTACTGAAGAGGTCAAGAATAGTAAACAAGAGAAAAAAAAAGATCAGATGAACATCTACGTATCATGTTCTGATCAAAACTGCATACTGCGAAATGGAATTTGAACTGAAATAATTTAATAGCCAATTTTATGTTCTTTGGTTAATAAGTCCCTATTGTCACATGACCAGAAATATTTACACAGCTGACTGTGTTTGAATTTCTATACCTCATGCGGATTTTTACACAAACTAAGAAAGAGTGAATGGTTATAATGGTGTCTTCCAGGTGAGAAGATGACCCTCAGCATCTCTGTCCTGTTGTCTCTGACTGTGTTCCTGCTGGTCATTGTGGAGCTGATCCCATCTACCTCAAGCGCTGTACCACTCATTGGGAAGTACATGCTCTTCACCATGGTGTTTGTCATTGCATCCATCATCATCACTGTCATTGTTATCAACACCCACCACCGCTCCCCGAGCACTCACACAATGCCAAACTGGGTCCGCAAGGTGAGCACAAGAAAGCAAAAGACTACATTTTGATAGTGGAGCTGAATAACTAAAGGAGTAGATTTGCTCAAGCGAGGCAAGCTTGAGTTTTTCTCCTGCATTATATTGCCATCTAGTGGTAACAGACTTAAAATGTTTTTTTTCTTCTTTATCCATCTTTTCTGGCATTGTACACTCACTGACACATTTGTCGTCTCCTTCATGATAGGTTTTTATCGAAACCATTCCCAACATCATGTTCTTCTCAACAATGAAACGCCCGGGAAAAGAAAAGCAGATAAAAACCATCTATGGTGCTGATTTTGATATCTCAGATATCTCTGGAAACCAGGCCTCTGCTGTTCCCTACTACTCACCCATCACAAAGAATCCTGATGTGCGCAGTGCCATTGATGGGGTTAAATACATCGCAGAAACCATGAAATCAGATGAGGAATCCAGCAGTGTAACCATCCTTATAATAAACTTTTTTCCTAATATGTTGCTAAAATCCAATCTAGAGTCCTGCAATTGATACATTTTCTCTAATGTTTTTTTTTTCAGGCTGCTGAAGAGTGGAAGTTTGTGGCCATGGTGTTGGATCACATTCTGCTTTGTGTCTTTATGGCTGTGTGTCTAATTGGCACATTAGCAGTGTTCGCAGGCCGCCTCATTGAGCTGAGTATGCTTTAAAGACCCATCCTTTATATTCTACCAGCTACACTTCTCAGGTGATCACATTCACCTTTGTTTTTTGAAGCTCCTGTACAGACCTGACAGCATTTACAGCTTGTTCTGCCCTTCTCTTGTTGTTTGTTTTTGGAGTGTGAACAATTGTATCCTGTAAGAACATGTAATTTGCAGTATTTTCATATTTATATTCAACATATTTTGACAGAGTTACTTTTTCCCTTGTGTGTATGGACAGGAACATGTGTGCAACTGGACATAAATCTAATGTTGTGTAATATTGTGCAGCTTTGCTTGACACCTTTATACTGTACAGCTGAATAAAATAGTTTTGTCCTGTTACAAGGTGAGATATGACTGAAGGGTAGACTTTATAGCGCAATAAGCAGAAAAACAGATTAAAATTGATAACCTCCTTCCTGCAGCTCCTTGCTTTATTCTGTTCAATTGTCCTGATACAAGAGCACTGGCACGTGCTTCATACCACTAAAAATATGAAAATTCTGACCTACACCTTCCAGGGTAAACATAGAGATTAGGAAAAAAGAATCCAGTTCTAGCTAATGTACGTAGCAGCACACGGCAGACTGACAACTTCTGGAGCATATTTGAATGTCTTTAATATCAAATGGTACATGTTAGAATCATAAAAGCTATAATCTAATTATAGCTGGTAATTGTGTTAATTGTGCCTAAGTTTAAAGCACGAGGGTCTGATTTATAATCGTGTCACTATTATAAGTCAGACTTATTTTTCTGAAGCACTTCTGCCTTTTGTTTCCCACGTCACTGTTTACACTGTACACCTTATGTCGGCTCTCTATTTGAAATTCAAATATTAATGCAGATTCTGTACCTGCCCACGTTTACTTGTAATGTGCTTTTACATGCTTACTTAGCTCTTGGCTCCTCAGTTCACAGCAGTTATTTGACAGGTGCATGTGACACAGGCATTAGCTAACTTTTTTACTTAACTCTGTGGGCACACAGGAAACTAAATTTGTGGTATTTCTGGGTTTTATAGGTTGTATAAAATGTGCACTCCACAGTTAAGATACTTGGGAGAGTATATCAACATTTTAATTTCCCTGATATACTCCCACATCCCAGATAAATGATACTGCCATGCTTTGTGCTCATTTGAATGTAATACTAGAGATGTTGTTCTCCCCTGTTCCTTGCTTTACAATTTGCTAGTACTGGGTCCACAGCAAGGTGCTGGAAACAATCCTAAGTGATTCTGGTTCATGTTGACATGACAGCGTCGCACAGTTGGTGCAGATTTTTCACCTGCATGTTTTACAGTGTTTTAGCTGAAAGGAATGGCTCTCATCTGGTTCAGGGTTCAATGTATTGTGCATTCAGAGACGCTTTTCTACATACCTTGGTTGTTACAAGGGATAGTTTTAGTTATATCTACCTTCCTGACAGCTTGAACCACACTCACCATTCTGACTAACATGCAACTGCAACAAAAGTCTGCATAGCTCGTGACCAAGAATAACAAAAAATAGAAAGATTTATGATCACAGAAGACAGAACATTTCATGCAAAAGATAACTCGTACAGTTAAGTATATCTTGTATTAAAAGATTATATGGAGACAAAACAGGATCCTTCCATTCAGCACGTGAGAAGGGCTGAATGTTAACATTTTCCATCACTGTCATCATTTTTATGATGATAACTGTGGTTCTCGTCATTTTTAGATTAAAGCCTTTTTAAAACTATAATTTGGCATAACATGCAGATACACCCTTTTCACAAACTTTTGCTTAATTGAAAATTAGCATTTAAATGCTTTTTAGTCATTTAAGACAGTTTTCAGTCTTTCTTAGCGATGATTGGTCATGTGACTTGTAGACTATACTCTACCATACTTGGCTGTTGTGAGGTGGCGGTTGAATTTCCCCGTACAGGGGCTTTCCAGACTTTAAATTTTTAAAGCAGTTTAAATTTAGGTAGGCGTCTGGTAAACTAAACTTTTACTAAGTTTATGTTTGGGTTAAAATGCATCCTTCAAGCCTGTCTGTCAGCACTGCGGAAATAAGTGGTCATAGTTATGCCATCTTTCGTCTCTTATACGTATTTACGTTGTTTTCGAAAAGGATAGAAAGAAGGCGCTACGCCACGCCTCTTTTCACTATCTTGAAAAGTGATTGGTTGAGATGTGTTGACAAATCATGGCTAATGAAACTTGTGGGTTGGATACTAAGCAACGCGGTCACGTAAGAGTAAGAAGAGCGCTAGTGTCAAGTTATTTTTAAGAAGTTAGTAAAGGTGGAAGGCGAAGTTTGGATCCGTAAGAAGCTCTGATTAGTATCTGCCTCCAGCTTCACGTTAGCTCGCTGGCTAACTCTGACGGCTACCTAAATATGACTAACGCATGGGTGCTCAACCGCTGCCAGACAGGTGAGACTGTATTATTAAAAAGATATATACAAGTTATATCGGTTGCAGTGACTTTTAACTATGTGTAAACAACGTTAAAACCTCTCTAAAAGCAGTTTTGTTAATATACGATATTATTTCGGTTAACTGACGTAGTTAGCTCTACGTGTGTAATGAGATTACAGCTGAACCGGTGATTTTAAAGGTTATAAGTGAAAGTTTTCCTCGGTGTCTCTAGTGACTGACAGTGCCGACCGGTGAGGAGGAGGGGATTAACGTTACCGCAAACCAGACATGACAGCTGGCGGCAGAGGGAGGGTCAACATAATGATGGAGGCACCGGAAAGAAGCCGCAGCTTCAACTTTTCATCTGAGGAGCTGGACTCCTCTGCCCTCTCCTCCAGCATGTCCATCGACAGGCTCTTCCCGGCTCTCCTGGAGTGCTTTGGGATAATTTTGTGCGGGTACATCGCAGGGAGGGCAAACATTATCACCTCCACCCAGGCCAAAGGATTGGGGAGTTTTGTTTCCAAGTTTGCTCTCCCAGCACTGCTGTTCAAGAACATGGTGCTGCTGGACTTTGGTAATGTCATCTGGCCATTTCTCTGGAGCATCCTCATCGCCAAAGTGTGCGTGTTCTTCCTCGTCTGCATCCTCACATTGATAGTAGCCAGCCCCGTCAGTCGCTACAGTAAGGCTGGGCTCTTCTCAATTTTTGCTACCCAAAGCAATGATTTTGCTTTGGGATACCCTATAGGTAAGTAACTTTTAATCCCAGCAAACACAAAGCTTGTCATTCAGAGCTGTGACGTGTAAACATGCTGTCCCATTGTTTGCCCATCCATCATACTCAGAGTTCAGTTCCCCAGGATTTTATTATTTGTTAGCAAACAGATTTTGATATCACTGCTTTTGCAGCTTTTCTTTTATTCACATCAAGTTCATCCATAAATAAATAAATAGAGTGGTAGATATAATGTGAATCAAAACTGCACCCAGTTGAAAAAGTCAATTTAAGTTCAAATTAACTGACTAGCATTAACTGTATATCTTTAATATTTAATTATATAATGTTTACGTGGCCAGAGATGCTTTTTGTTTTGCACTCACTTCAGCACTTCCATCCACTGTCTTCCTTCTGGGATGTTTCAGATTAAGCCTGATTTTCTGCTTTATGCTTAAAGTCAGAAATAGAATCAAGCTATTGCAGTGATAGGAGTTATGATCACCTGTTCATGATGCAGCAGCACACTCACATTTCTTTATTTTACTACAAACTACTGTATAACATTTTGTAGGTATCCAGCTCGGTTTTGTTTTAAACCTTTTACATTTCTTAATCATTTTCTTTTTTTGCTTTATCTTCATCCACAGTTGAAGCCCTGTACCAGAGTACATATCCAGAGTACCTCCAGTATATCTACCTGGTGGCACCTGTGTCCCTGATGTTTCTCAATCCCATCGGCTTTGCCCTCTGTGAGATCCAGAAGTGGAAGGATCAGGGGAACCATCAACAGAGCAAAGTAGTGATTGTGGGAGTTGTAGTTTTACAGGTCATAAAGAACCCCATAGTATTTATGGTTGTTATCGGCATCATTGCCCACTTTGTGCTGCACCAAACCGTTCCCGTCTTCATGGCTCAGTTTGTGGATGGCTTGGCTAACTCTTTCGGGGGAGCAGCTCTGTTCTACCTGGGCCTGTCCATGGTGGGCCAGTTGGGGAAATTAACCAAATCTACAGTGGTGACACTGATATTACTTACTACAGCAAAACTGTGAGTGGAAGTAATTTAGATTTTTATTGCACTTGATTTTCTAGAAGAGGGCGATATTAGTGTTATCAGACAACCTTGTCTTATTTTTATGAGGTGTACTATGGAAGTTAAGAGAGAGTCAGCATGTTCAGGCTTTTCAAAGTGCTCCCACCATGTTGTTTTGTGCTGATGCTTTAGATGAGTCAGACCTTTCTCTGACCAAAAGCTGTTATCAAATAGATGACATATTAAGTAGTCTCAGGCACAGCATGCTAGTCAGTGCGTGTAAAGTTTGTATAGTTACACTGCATTTCACATCAGTGTTAAATAAAGCTTCAGGTAATGGTACATGACTTGATTTGGCTTTCAGGTTACTAATGCCCCTGATTTGTAAGGACATGGTGGATCTGTTGGACAAACGCAACACCAGCGATTTGAACCACTCCAGCCTCTCTGATTACGCCTTTCTTTATGGAGTGTTTCCCACTGCACCGAGTGTGGCCATCTATGCCGTTTATTATAACGCAGAGCTAGAAGTTGTGAGTTCTTTACAGCTTCCTGCCAACATACCATCTACCTTGTACTTTCTCTCTCTAACTCACTGTGCATGCTTTCTTTGTTCTGATTCCTGACAGGTAACTGCTGGGATGGTGATCAGCACTTTCCTCTCAGCTCCAATAATGTATGTTTCTGCCTGGTTACTCACGATCCGTTGGACAGATCCTCAGCGTTTAATGAATTCACTGCAGAACGTCAGTTTCAACATAAGCATCGTGAGCTTAGTTGCACTGGTGAGTCACAGCTAGTTGACTAATCATCTATTCTTTATCAGCTGATCACTGTTTAAATGTATCTCAGTGGATGGGAACTAAGGTCATAGTGAACTCAAAGTTGCCTCTACTTAATAACGCACAGGGCGCTCACTGACTGTATTTTCTTTTTAAGGTCAGCTTTATTAATACTCATCTCCTGTTTATCTGCTCTGATGTTCTACCATTCAGGACAAGTAAATTAGAGATGCAGGCAGTCTTTGTAGATGTTTAAACCACATTGGCAAACTAACCGTAAAAGTCTATGCCACTAACAGGATATGCAAGTAGACAGATGTTTTAGTGACTTGCAGAGTTGCTTCCTCATTCTTTGCCTGTTGATATATCTTTTAAGGAACCTGAAACTCGTTGCCACGATTATCTTTTTGCAATGATTAAACAACATTGTTTCTTTTTTATTGTTTCCCTTCAATGTTTCCATTTTTTTAAACATCCACCAAGGAGATTCCATTTTTGGAAGTGTTGTAGGAGTGTAGAGTGGGGTCACATGGTCAAAGTGTGCCACATTTGTATGGAACAATCATTTGAAGATTTGGAAGTTTTTCGTGTAACCCATATACTCATCTCTGCTCCTTAACCCCTATATGCCAATATGTTGTACTGACTACATATTGGCATATGGGGATTCTAAATACCATGTTATCTTGGACCTTTGATCACTTATCCAAGGTCAAACTTTCAAAAAATGCCCTTTATCTTTAAAAGTATGCCTACATATCTGCTGCCTTTGTTTGTATTGGCAACAGGAAATGATACTGGTATATGTGAATTCTAAATGTCAAATTATAGTTTGCATCCAAATTTCACATTAGACCTCTGATCTCACTTTTTCCTTGGCATCTGCCTTTTTTCACATTGAAAGAAAAGTTTTAAAGATAAAACCTTTGTAGCTTTAAAGAAAAGAGAATGTGCTGCCTATTAAGTTAGAAATATACTCTTGTATAATGTTACATAATAAGCTCAGGTTATAAATTACCTACTACCTAGTATCTATTACTTACTCTCAC